AGAGGGTCTCCTGAGGGGTGCCCCACTCTGGACAGCCCTCCGTCTGGCAGTAACAAGGAGCAGGGTGAACAGCTCCCCGGAGCAGAGGGTGGAGCTGGAATCAGATCCTGGGCCCTCTGAGTTCCAAGGGCCTGCATTTACCACGTGACCCCCGCTTATCTTGCTAACAAGAGGCCTGGGTGTGTCTGCCCTTAGCAGTGCTCTGCGTGGTCCAGTGTCCATCTCCCTGCCTCTGTCCAGACCACAGATGCGCAGCTGACACAGCATGTGACGCAGAAAACTCTGGAAGGGAGCGTTTTGCTTCCATCCCTGCCCAGTGGGGGCCCCCAGCCACCCTACCCGAAGGGCACAGCCGGGGCGCCGCGTCCAGGACAGACCAGTGCACGAGCCCGGGGTGGGCACTGGGGGCCATGGGTGCCGGTTTCTCTCCTGCCCCAGCTGCAGCCCCCACCCCTCCCCACCCAGCAGGCCCGCTCAGTCCTAGGCCCCCGCCCCCCAGCAGTGTTGCAGTTTCTCCTTCCTGAGGCCTCGATGTGGCTCTAAAACAAGACCACCCACGGAGACGGCAGGAACCCACGGCTGCGCCCCACGTGATTGATGGCCGAGGCGGAGTAAGCAGAATAGGCCCGGGAGGAGGCAGCTCGGAGACAAAGCCCGCCGGCACAGAGGGCCTGTCTGTTCTGCCTGAGGTCACACAGCCTCAGGGACCAAGGCAGCAGGCCCAGCCCGCAGGGCATCTGGAATTCCACACCAGCCTCCCGCCCCGCTGCCAGGCAGAGCTGTTCAGAGGCGGCTGGGCCTGAATGAGCGCCGGCCAGGAGGCCGCAGTCTGTGTGGCCCATCAGGAGACAGGCTGCTGACTCTGGGCCAGGCAGGCGGATGGACCGCCTGACCCTTGCCTCGGCCTCGTCATCAGCCAGGCCCCGCAGTAAACATTCCAGAGGTGGGCAAAGCAAGAAGACGAGGCCACGTCAGGGCTGAGCTGCCTGGGTGGTGCTGGTGCACCGCAAAGTGCTCTGGATGGGGAGAAGGCAGCCCAGGGCGGGTGGCTGTGCAGGTTGGACGCTGTACCAAGGCCTGTACGACCGTGAGGCACCAGCAGGTGGCAGTCACGTGTCTCGAGGACGGTGCCTGTGCCCATGGCCGCCGCCGCCATTGTTCACTCATTGGCCCGGTGGACACGTTGGTAAGCACGTGCCTGGGTCTGCGGCACACCGCACACAGGGTGAGCCCTGAGGTCAAGCTCCCGGCTTCACGTGAGCCGCACAGGGGCAGGGGTGGGCGCCGTGCACGAAGCCCAGCCCAAGGGTGCTGCCCAGGAGAACAGCAGCGGGAGCCACGCCAGGTCTTGGGGCAGAGGAAGAGGCAGCCTGCAAGGACCAGACAGGAGCAGCCCGCGTGCTGCGGATGTGCGGCAGAGGCTGAGGAGGGGACCGGGGTGCCCAGGGCGCCCGCGGGGCTCTGGACCAGGACAGACCAGGCCTGGGCTGAACCCTGGGCACCAGGTGGCGGGGCCTGAATGGGCATCTCCATCTGGAGCCTGCAGAGATGCCCCCTGCTGTCCCTCTGGGCTGCCCAAAGGCCAGGAGGAGCGGGTGTGGGGGGGCTCACCGGCCTTCCCGGGGTCACGCAGGGCACGGCGCAGCCGGGTGAGCTGCTCTTCCACCTGTGGGCTCGGGAAGGGAGCGCTGTGTTCTGTTTATTTGTGGGGGCCCGGCCGCGTTCAGTTGGCAGAGGAGACCCTGTTTCTGTTGCCGGGGTCCCTTCGCAGGCCTGGGCTGCACACTTCGGAGCTCAGTGCATTGGAGCCCGGAATGATTCTGAGCGCTTCCTGCATCTCCTTCGTTTCATCCTCATGGCGAGCCTGTGGGGTAGCTGCTGTCATCATTCCTGCTTCCCCGACAGGGAGACAGAGGCGCTGGGGGTGAGAAACTCAGCCGAGGCTGCTGAGGAGTGGGGTTGTCTCAGGCTGCAGCTGCCCCACTGCCGTATTCAGAGATCAGTGAGTTTATTTCTCACCTCCACTTGCACCAAGGATGCTGCCCGCACGAGGCGGGTGGGGACGCAGACCCGGGGGCCGGGTGCCCGTCCTAGAACACACAGTGGGCGAGCTGTGCAGCCAAGGCTCGGCCCACGTCCGCACGACTCCAGTCCCAGGCTGCCCTCCTGAGGGCCCAGGCCCACACAGTGGCCGAGGATGTCTCCCACACCCCACTCCGGCTCCTCCTAGCCACACCCCACTCCACAGGCACCCGAGTTAGCAGGGTGAAGATGCTGCACTCAGGGCCCTGAAAACTGCACCCTGAGCGGTGCTCTGGGTATCCAAGGCCTGGAGTTCTCTGCCTGAAAGGACCTCAGCCTACTTCCAGGAGCCGTCCGACCAATTTCTCGGCCCAGCCTCCCAAGAGATATCGAAGAAACCACTGTCTGGGGGTGGGAGGTGGAGGTGAAGCTTGGCCACATGGCCTGGGCCACCCATGAACCTGCACAGAATCCTGAGGGACACAGGACAGAGTGGGGGGTGGGTGGGAAATTAGGGTTCTGAGCTGCAGGAAAACAGAAGCAAGAACCGAGAACTGGCTGACCCTGTGCCCCTTATTCTACTGGAACGCCAAGAGTTTCGTGTCTAAGTTTTGCATCTTCAAGGTCATTGTGAAGTTGAACTTGTGGAGGAAGGCCACAGACATGTTTTACTTAAAAATTTTCTAGTTTTATTTATCAGTGTTAAATATTAGGCGTATGACATACTCCGGGCCCCCAAAATACTAGAGGTGAACCTGCCCCGGGGTCTGCGGTTCGCTGACACCACTTCGGAGAGTTTGTGATAAAATCCACAAGCCCTGTGGCTTCCCTTGGTGCGAGGCTTGCTGCGCACACATTTTGTTGAAAAGCATCTCTGGGAGCAGAAAACAAATCTCGCTTTCTAGTCACACCAGCAGTTCCTGCCCCACAAAAGTCCAACCCGGTGACATCTTGGACGGTCGGCACGGTGTGAGAAAGCGGCACCAGTACAGGAGCTGTCCGTCAGCGATTCCGGTGGGCTTGGGAAGACAGTGCTCCCCTGGCAAGGGCCAAGCGTGGACGGAGCAGCTCTGAAAACAGACAAACGGAAGCAGGCTGCAAATTTATAGAAAGGAGCCTTTCACAAAGGGGAGGTTTGGGAAAATAGTTGGCTGCGTCCATGTTGCGGGGAAGACGTGGAATAAGAAGCTCCGAGGAAGGTTCTTGAATGTAATGCTTCCGAATTGTTGATTAGAACTCAGCCACGTGGCCACCCCGGCTGGTGGAGAGTCGGAACACGTGTTAATATATCAATTCTCATGCTGGGAAAGAAGGGCGGAACGGGTCCTGGGAAGAAAAGAACTGTCTCTGTCCATGAGAAAGTTTACAGAAATGCCCCAAGCTGCGTCTGGTTCCCGCAGGCGACCAGAACTGTGAGTTTCAATGACAACAATAATCAAAAGGACCAACAGAAACTTGCGCTCCTTCTGCTTTGCTCTTGGAAAGCCATCTCGACCCATGAGCACCCCAACGGGGGCTGCTGCTTCTCAGGAATTAGCAAAAGCACAGCTGCAGCGTCAGAAGCCCTGGATCAGGCTGGACACCAGGAAGTATCCGGCAAATTTATAGATTTTTCTCTCCAGTACTGGGAACCGAACTCACGACCTTGTGCTTGCCAGGCAGGCGCTTTGCCACTGAGCTAAATCCCCAGCCGCGGCGAATTTATAGAAAGGAGCTTTTCGCAAAGGGGAGGTTTGAGAACATAGTTGACAGCGTCCATGCTCCCATTTGATGGGGAGAGATCCTCCTCAAGTAGGAAGGAATCAGGAGACGGGGGAGCGGGAAAAAGGAGGTGGGGGGAGGAGGACAAGTTGGGATGTGCTGTGTAAGGAACCAACTCCCCGTGATGGACGCGATCACCCTGTACTGCAAACGCGTGCGAATAAAAAAAAGTAAAACAAATAAGGGCTGGATTCAAGCTGCTTAGGCAAAGTGTGGAGTCTCTCTGAGTTTTTGAGTTTTGTCTTCTACAGAATGGAAATAAAGATGCTTATGTAATGGTTCTGGTTGGGAGCATTAAGTTCCAAACGCTCAATGGTCTCTTCAGCTGTTTATCCACTCAGCAGGTGTGAGGTGAGCCGCTGGGTGTGGAGCTGGAAACAGAACGGGGAGCAGACAGGTTGTACCTGAGCTCCAGGAGCTGTCATCATCCCATGGGATACGGGCACAAGGCATACAGCTAGTTGTTCTAGTTCTAGTTCCAGTTCTAGTAGTAGGACAGAAAAGTTGAGTTTGAGAAGACAATCTGTATCAGAAGAGAGATGGATTGTGGGTCAGGATTAGGGTGAAAATGGAGAAAAACAGGCAAGTGGAGGGATGGTTTTGAAAAGTAATTATCACATAGAGTCACGGGACTGGGGGAGAAGCAGGTCGCAGAAATGCTGTCTACTCCTCTGCCTCGAGCAGTGGATCAGAGTGACAGTCCTGCTACTAGGGAAGACTATGTGAGAAATCCATGGAGAAGTGGGTGGATGGGGTGAAAGGGTAGAGGGACAGATGACAACTGCTTCTCTGGACAAATGGACACATGCAGAGATGGGTTAGTGGGTAGGTCAGGGATAGTGTGTAGGTCAGTAGTGAGTCCTGGGTGAGTCCTTGGTAGAGCACCCCATTTACTAGGTTGTTGCTTAGTAAAACAGTACTGCTTTATTTATTTACTTGTTCATTATCTCATTTAACCCTTCGACATAGGTGGTGGAGGTGTTAATGCCTTTATTACAGATGATACAACCGAGATGTTGGGAGTCAGAAGCTGGGCAGGACTGGAACTTGAGTCTCCTGTCTTCCCCTTCACCACCCAAGGGTGATGTTTGCGGTCAAGAGAGGGCAGAGAGGGAGGTGGAGAAAGCCTTGGCCTGACCCCCAGGGGCACGGCCTTCAGGAGTAGGGAGGACAGAGCAAAGAGGAAAGCTGCCTTCATCGCTTCTCTCTCCTTGCAGGGCGAAGTATTTCTACGGAAAGAAGCTGAACGGAGAGATTGAGATCCGAGTGGAGCAGGTAGGTGGGGGCCGAGCTCTACACCCTGCCGTTTCCAAGGCTGGGCCATTCCGGGAGCAACCTTGGTCCCATCTTATCTGATGATGAGTACCCTATAATGAGTTAAGATAACCAGAAATGTCCTGGCTCAGAGAGACCTGGGAGTTTCATTCAATTCCAGAATTGTTTGGTCCAGTCGTTTGCAGCCTTTTGGTTTAGCAGCAAAATTTTCAAAGGAAATGTCAAATAGCAGCTCATTCTACAAAATAGAGACAAACAAATATGCTCTGATGGAAATGGGAAAGGGATCCCCAAAAGTCTGTGTGCCCCATGCAGTTCCCCATGGTCCCTGCCATCTCCTGGGACTGTTTTGGCCGGGAAGTACAGCTTGAGAGCGTGTCATGTTGAACCGGATGTCATCCCCTTGGAGTTGAGCAGGCGACTTAATCTGTCTTCGTCGCAGTCTCCCGGCATCATTGTTGGTATTAAATCATCTAAAATCTCGGGAGAGGTCGGAGTTGAGAACCCTGGCTCTTCTTGTTGCTTCCGTGATCAATACTCAGGCCCCCCATTTCTGTGGGAAGAAACACGGTCTCGCTGTAGACTGGACAGGAAGTCGGGGGCAGAATCAGGCCCAGAAGCCCAAGGGCCCTGGGCTTCACCATGTGAGAACCTCCTGTCAGGCTGTGGGGCAGCCTCCAGGTTCCAGGCCCAACGCCACCCCAGACTATGCGGCCTCCGTTAAGCAACGCTTGAGCGCCGCCCAGCTTTCCACCCGCACCCAGCTGATAAACGCTTCGTCCGGCAGCCATGAGGCTGCAGGGAGGATCAAAGGAGGTATGCACAAGGGGTGCCTAGAATGAGGCCTGGCGCACGCGGGCACTGTAAGCCATGCCACTTCTCCTCTCCCCGTTCTTCTTGCTCGTCTCCTCCTTCGTCATCTTTGTCTAGTTCTTGTCTTTCTCCTCCTCCTCCTCTTCCTCCTTCTCCCCATCTTCCTCCTCCTGCCTCACCACCGAGGCCCAGGAGTACAGAAGACAGACCCAGCCCTTGCATGAAGTTAACTGAAGAAACCACAGTGACAGGACCAGGGCTGGCTGTGACCTCCCCTGTCTTCCCTGCCTTCTCGAGCTTTGGGTGTCAGAGGAACGGAAAACCCCTGAGCGTCAGCCTGCCCTGGCCTCATGCTGGCACACCTACAGTTTGGATTTCAGCTTGACCCTGTGGCTTTCAAGTCAACCCACTGTCTCCTGGTTTTCCTTTCATGGCAGAACACAGGTTATTTTTGTTCATTTTATCAATATTTGTCAAGTGTCTGCTACGTCAGCTAGCTCTTGCAGGGACTGAGGGTACAGAAACTGGGCCGAGTCCCAGGGCAGCTTGTGGTCTAGGAAGGGAGGCCAGGTGAGCCTGGCAAACTTCTCGGGAGGCTGGAGGACAGCTCCAGCCCAGCGCTGTCCGGGGCAACCAAGGGGTCTGAGGCGGCTTGGAGGAGGGCAGCTTCCTGGCGCAGGCTGACGATGCACAGGGTTCCAGCAAGCGGGCTGGGAGGCAGTGGAGGAGGGTGCGAGGGGGTGGGCTCCAAAGCAGCCATTGCATCCCCCCTGCCCTGTCCACCACCTCCACCCCAGTGTCCTCCATCTACCGTCCACCGTACAGAGTGGGCACAGTCTCTGGGTGTCCCTCCCTGCCTCACCCATGCTACTGACTGACCCCTTAATCCTGTGTCCGTCCACCCCCCCACTGCCCTGGCTGCACCCCCGCCCCGCTGTCACCCGTTGTGACATAACGGTCGCATCACCCCATTTTTTCCCATCTCCAGTGTGTTTCCTCCTCACACCAAAGCTGTAGCGATCAACCCTTCCAAGTGTGAGCCTTGAAGTCTGAAGCTGACGGCCCCTCGGAGCCCTGTCTCAGCGGGTGCTCTGGTTGCTCCTTGTCGCAGCTCCTCCACTTCTCCTTCACGGCCCTCCTCTGGGTTTTACTTGTGTGTTTTAAGCTGGGGTTATTGCATGAGGGTAGGGGCCGTAGCTGTTTGGGTTTCAGAATGTGAAGTAGCACATGGCCTGGCATAAACTAGAGCTGAAGGAAAGATGTACAGGATGAATAACCGATAGATCCCGCAGATTCCAGGCTGCTTGTCAGTTTCCAAGGCTGATGAATCACTGTGCCATAACCTTCCCTCAAAAGTCTGGGTTTTCCATAAACCACCTGGCAAACGCTCAGTGCCGGCTGAGCTGGCCGTCCCCGCTGCAGCAACCCAGCGGTGCTTTATTTCTCCCTCGTAGCTTAGCACTTCCTGTAGCCCAACCTGCAGCCCTGACATCTGGGAGCAGGAGCCGCAGAGTGGGTTGCCCTGGAATAGTCCCAGAGGAGCTCTGGGGACTCGGCCAGGGCCAGGGGCTGCCATCATGCTGGGCACCTCAGAGGATTTTGTCTCTCTGGGCACCAGGAAGTAATTAAGCCAGGAAACCAATTAGCAGGTTATTTGGGGCATTTTTCCTGGAAGACTTAGCTTCCCAAACCCATCCTGGCATCTGCGTCGCTCCTCTCTGCCCGTCTGGATCAGTGGGTCGGTCCCATAAGCAAGCCCCAGGAATCTTGTGTGCTCCTGTGGGGCTTGGGGAAAAGCTTAGGACAGAAGCCACTGTTTAGTCTAAGCTGGCCTCGGGTTTGGGGAGCCTGTCTCTCACTAAGTGCTGAATTAACCAGATAATTTCACTGTCTGGGTTTTGCTAGACACAGTGAGAGAGTTAGTTGTGGTTGGCTAGAAGAAGCCTCTGCCCCTTCTCTCTACTCTCATCTCCCCAGTTCAAAAACTGCTTGTCTGGCTCTCCCAGCCCAGAGCCCAGGGGCCCTGGGGAGGTGTGAGGGTGGCATTATTTTGCATCCCACTACTCAGAATTCCCTGAGGGTCCTGTGGGGTCCTCACAGCAGTGTCCTAGGAGGGCCTGTGAGGATCAGGCCAGCGTGGTTGGCATGTCAAACTCCTCTCTATTTATATTTGAGGCAAAGGGTCTCCTTTCCCTCAGGCAGAAGTCACTCCCTGTGAGACTAAGAGATGTGGCTGACAAATGGATGACTATTAAGCAGACTCACGTGGACTAGGGCTTGGTGGGAGAGAGCCGGGGGCCCTAATGGAACAAGGGAAAGAAGACTGAAATCACCATGCCCAGTCTTCCCTTGGGTTAGCAGAGGCTCCAAGGAGCAAAGGGCAGCAGTGCCGTGCTGTAGCAGGTGGAAGGAGAGCAGGAAAGGAAGCTGGACAAGCCGCAGGCTTGCAGAGAAGAGCCAGGGGCCCTGGGCCCCATCCACGTGTGGTATTGGAGTTGGATGGCAGTAGGTGAGTGCCTGTCCATGTTCTGCTTTTTCTATAGTTCCTCAACATCTGCGTCTTCTGAAAACAAAAGTGTGATTTTGTTCTTAAAATATGTATGTTAAACACTTTGGGCCATGGACAGGTATCTCTTATCCAAAATGCGTGTGACCAGAAGTGTTTCTGATTTCAAAGTCATTCAGATTTGGGGATATTTGCATGCACACAACAGTGTACCTTGGGGGAAGGACCCAAGTCTGAACGTGCATTGCACTGTATTGCATATACACTTTGTACACACAGCCTGAAGGTAATACCATGCAGTGTTTTTGGTAAACCTGTGCTTTGAGTTGCCTTTGTCACATGAGGTTAGGTGTGGCATTTTCCACTTGTGGTGTTATGTGGATGCTCAAAAAGTTCTGGATTTTGGACCTCTTTAGATTTTGAATTTTCAGATTGGGATGTTGAGCCTGATTTTATATATTTTCATATGCATTTCAGCCTTCAATTCATAATTTGTTCCAAGATGATCTTCCTTAGAATTTACCTTTGCTGTAGATATTGACTGCAAAGACTGTGCAACATTTTGTAGAACAGATGTTGATGTGATAAAGAAATGGAGGTTGGATGTTAATTCAATTTGGTGGATTAGTAACAAGTTGAACATCATTCTTGGTTTGGAATAATTCCTTGATAGAAATATACCTTGAAAAAATATATCTAGTGGCTTGCCAAAGGGGCCTACCCTTGGCTTTTTCTGTGCCTTCTTCTTAATTTTAACTTTGCAAATTACATTTGCTGAAACTTGAAGCTGAGTGTGATTGTGATTGTAGCAAATTGATCTCCCCAATCCTGCTCCTCTGTATCTGAGTTTTTGAAGAGGAACCTATGTTGTACCAGCACTCAGCTTGACCATGTCAAATGTAATCTAGCACATACACTAGTTGCTTAATGATTGTTACTCTCTAGAACCTGATGTCACTTCAGGCTGCTTCTTCAAAGACATGCAGAAAACCAGCAGATCATATACTCTCCCTACCACATACACCACCTGCACCCATGCAGTCTTCTAATCAAATTCCAGTGAGAGCTCCAGTTACAGTGTCACACTCTTAAAGAGATCACTGTAACCTGGAATGCCTCCTGAAGAGGGGTTGGAGGAGACCAAAGCCAGAGGAAGGAGGACTGGCACAGTCCACCCCATTAGCATTCGCTCAGGCCCTTCTACTCACCCATACTCATCTGAGCCCTAATTTTTCACTTAATATATCTTAGAGTGTATTTCAGTGAGTATGCAAAGAGCTGCCTGATTCTTGTTAATAATTGCCTAGAGGTCACCACAATTTGTTTTATGTAATTTTGCTATTACAAACAATGGCAAACCTATGTCATTTCGAACATTTGTCAGTGTTTCTGTAGAATTCTTTCCTAGAAATAGAATAACTAATTCCAAAATAGTGCACATAGTACTTGTTATCAAATACCTCAAGGGGTGAAGGAGTTTTCCCCCAGCTGCTGAATTGTGCCCATGAGACCGCTGTCAGCCATGAGTCCTTCTTTGGAAGTTCCTCAAGTAAGGAGAGATTCCTCACCCAAGGTCACATCTCTTTCCCAGGGACAGTTCTATTAAATGACATAAAGACATAGCCCCTTCACCCCAATTTGAAACAACTCCAAAGGGCCATCCCTCCTCCAGAACTGTTTA